GTCATGTACGGATGTGAGAGTTGGATCATAAAGAAAGCTGAGTGCCGAAGAACTGATCCTTTTGAACTGTGATGTTGAAGAAGCACTCAGACTGCAAGGAGATCAACCCAGTCAATCCTAAAGGAAACCAGTCTTGAATATTGGAAGGACTGATGCTGAAGCTGAAGCTAGAATCCTTTGGCCATCTGATGTGAAGAACTGCCTAACTGGAAAAGACCCTGATGCTGAGAAAGATTGAAGGCAGAAGGAGAAGGGGGTGACAGAGGATGAGATAGTTGGATGTCATCACTGACTCAATGGACATGAGTTTGAGCAAGCTCCGGGAGATGGTGAAGGACAGGGGAGCCTGGCATGCTGCAGTCCATGAGGTCACAAAGAGTCGGACGCGACTGAGCAACAACAAGATGCCTAAGCCCTTGGATCCTTGGTTCCATGACCCAGTGCAACAGCACCACCAACCCCCGCCCCCGCCCGCCCAGCCCCAGTTATGGAAGGACAAGGAGCTCCTCGCCCTGGTTCCCTTCCCCTGTTCCCTTTCACCAGCAGACACACACACATGGATGTTTTAATATGGGAGATTTTTTAGGAGGTAGCCCATGTCTTAGTCAGCTCAGGCTGCTGTAACCAAATACCATGGACTGGGTGGCTTAAATAACAAATTTATTTTCTCAGATTTTGGAAGTAGAAGTCCTGAGATCAGGGTGCCAGCAATTGGATTCTCACGAAGCCTCTCTTCCTGGCTGGCAGACAGCATCTCTCTGTGGGCTCATGTGGCCTCTCCTTGGCGCATGAACTTGGAGAGAGAGATGTCTCTTCCTCTTCTAAGACCTCCAAGCCTATTGGATTAGGGCCCTACTAAAGGCTCTGTCTCTAAATGCAGTGACCTTGGGGGTTGTGGCTTCAACATACAAATGTGGGAGGGGTGACCCAGTTCTGTCCATGGCATCCAGGAATGCAAGGATCCCAGTGTCTGTGTGGAATGAAGTCCCTGCTTTTTAAAGGCTCACGGACTGGGAGGAGTTTAGACCCATGGGTCTGGAGACAGTAGGGTTTGTAGTTGTTCAGAGCCCTGGATCTGGAGGAAAACAGTTTTGTTTGAATCTCAGCTTGACCACTTATTAGCATGTGTGAGAGATAGTGTGTGTGTGTTCAGTCACTCAGTTGTGTCCGACTCCTTGTGACCCCATGGACTGTAGCCCCCCAGGCTCCTCTGTCTATGGGATCTCCCAGGCAAGAATCCTGGAGCAGTCTGCCATTTCCTATTGCAGGGGATCTTCCCGACCCAGGGATCAAACCTGTATCTCTTGCCCCTCCTGCGTTGGCAGGTGGATTCTTTACCTCTGGCACCACATATGATCTGGGACAAATTACTTAGCATCTCACTGAGCCAGCATCCTGATCTGTAAAAGCAGGATAACCGAGCAGGGTGGCTGTGAGGGTCAGACGGGGGCTTGTGTGGAAGGCCCCTGGCTTTGAGCCTGTGCCCGCCCTGGACGCTCAGTCAGTGGGAGTGATTACGACTGCTTTCCAGCCTTCCCGGTGCCCCTGTGCCAACTCTGCTCTCTGTTGCAGTCCTGCCTCTGGCCTCAGTAACATCCTCGCTCTTCCAGATGTCCTCTTCCTAGCATCCTAGGACTCAGAGGTAATGAGTCATTAGAAACACTTGCTGCATATGGGGGCAATGGCCCAGGACTGTGGGGACAGCCCCCCACCCCTGGTGAGTGTGGACGGCATGCTATTCACTCGCTCGCCAGACAGATCATCAGTCCTTTTACCCCGTGCTAAACATGTGTCCTCTATCCTCTAACTTTAAACTTCTTACTGTGATATAATTTAACAGTCACAGAATAGTTTTGAGGGTAGAACAAAGTTCTTTTCTTCCTCCCCTCTTCCCCTCCTTCGCCCTTATCCCCCCCAACCATGAACTATTTGAGAGTTATTTGCATACATGTGTAATTTTACCCTCTAAATATTTTAGTATACATTTTCTAAGAACAAGGACTTTCCTTCACATGACCACAGTCGTGTTACCAGATTCAGAAATTGTGTAATTTTATTCCCCGGTGGCTCAGACACGGTAAAGAATCTGCCTGCAATGCTAGAGACCCAAGTTCAATCCCTGGGTCGGGAAGATCCCCTGGAGAAGGGAATGGCAACCCACTCCAGTATTCTTGCCTGGAGAATCCCATGAACAGAGGAGCCTGGCAGGCTACAGTCCATGGGGTCGCAAAGAGTTGGACACAACTGAGTGACTAACACACACACACACACACACATCTAACAATACAGTAATATCTAATCTGTGGTTCACGTTTCAGTTTTGTCAACTGTCCCAATAATGTTTGTTTAAAGCAATTTTCTTCTGATCCTGGGAGTCAATCCAGGATCACACACTGCACTTGATATCCTCTCTTTAGTATCCTGTAGCCTGGAACAATTCCCTTGCCTTTGTTTGCCTTTTATGATATGGTCATTTTTGAACAGTTCAGTCCAGTTATGTTATAGAATGCCCCTCAAGTTGGTCCCTTAACTTTTGTTTACAGTAAAATGTACTTCAGAAGCCACTTTCACATTTCTTTAAGATAAGTAGGTAGTTCCTGAATGCCTTGCACTAGGCTCTGTGAGTTGAGAGCATGATATAGCCTGGCTGTGCCTTGGGACCTGAAGTCTGCGTTTGTGGGCAGTTACTGTCAGAAGGACTGGAAGGGCCCCTCCATGCTCATGACTAGTGGTCTGCTGTGTAGGCACCCACAAGCTTGGAAAACGCATCTCAGAAGGATGCAGGCCAAGTCAGCATTCTGGAAGTCTCCAAAGATGCAGAAAATGGCTCCGCGCCTGTTTCAGCATCCTCTCATCAACTTTGCCCAGCCTCCCAAGGCGTCCCAAAGTTCATACTCCCAATCAGAGGCCTCCTTCTCTTGGAAGCCTCCAGTGGGCACAGTTCTGGGTTGCAGCCTGTCCCTAATTCTGCTCCGTTCTGTGGCCTGGGCCTGCTCTCTCCCTCTCTGGGCCAGTGGTGGGAGAGGAGCCCCTCCTTGCTCTGCCAGGCACCCCTGGAGCCGGGGACAGGGAGGGAGAGAGGCGCCGAGCCCTGAGTGTGGGAAGACAGCCAGGACCCTGGCCCACGACAGGCTTAAGCCACCTTGGGACAATCTTCCTTCTGACCAGGCGAATGACTCATCAGACCCGGAGCTTTGCTTTCGAAGCTGTTTAACCTCTCCATCGGGTGGTATGTAGTGTGGAAAACGGTGAATCGTAATCTCAACAACCGTGTAACATCTGGGAACTGTCTTGCTAGGTAGAGGCATTTTGTCAGAAAAAGCAAGAAATGTAAGACTGTTATATGACCTTAGTCATTACAGAACTTTAGCCAAGCAGGCTTTTATCATGAGAAACAAGATAAAATTGATTTTCATCTAGTCATCGAGTCAACACCATTGTCTGCTGTGGGTTTTAAGTTTCCTTTTTTAATATGTATTTGTTTGTATTAATATGTATTTATTTGGCTGTTCCAGGTCTTAGTTGCAGCATGCAGGATCTTCATTGTGGCATATGGAACCTAGTTCCCTGATCAGGGATCGAACGCAGGCCCCCTGCATTGAGAGCATGTAGTCTTAGCCACTGGACCACCAGGGCATCCTATCTGCCGTGTTTTAACCCTTATATTAACACTGCAAAGTGCTCTCCCTGGGGATGCAGGCATCCATGTAAGAGAGACGTTTCGATTGTAAATGAATTACAATGAAATAAAATTGAAAATTCAGTTCCTCAGTGACTGGGGACATTTAAAGGACACAGTAACCACAGCTGGACCGTGTAGGTCTAGACACTGATCGCTGGACTCCGTGGGACAGCGCTGCTTGGCACGGCCCACCAACTGGGAAGCAAAGGTGCGGGAGAGACTTCTGCGACAGACGTGGGCACACATGGAAAATCTGACAGATCGTGAAGTTGGCATTTACATACGATTGCAGGCTGTTGGCAGTGCAATTCTCTGGGCTTCTGGGCTTAGTCAGAGATGTGCTAAAAGATGCGTGGAATTTCACTTCTGTTCTGGTAGCCCAGATCTCTGTTAGGTTAGTTCCACACCATGGTACTGTAGTCAGGATATAAAGAGAATGCAGCTGTGGATTAAGAATCCCCCTGCCAAAGCAGGGGGCATGGGTTCAATCCCTGGTCCAGGAAGATCCCACAGTGCCACAGGGCAATGAAACCCACACGCCACAACTACTGAGCCTGTGCTCTAGAGCTGGAGAGTTGCAAATACTGACCGTGCCGTAACTACTGAAGCTGGCATGCCCGTGCTCACGCTTACATACGGAGCCCATGCTCCGTAATAGGAGAAGCCACGGCAACGGGAACTCCGCGCACTGAAACTAGAGAGTAGCCCCCGCTCGCTGCAACCAGAGAAGACCTCGCACAAAAAATAAATAAAATTATTTTTAAAATTAAAAAAAAAAAAAAATGAAGAGAATGCAGCCAAAGCTGAACGGAGGCAGTGATTCAGTCAGTGCCTGGGTCTTTGCCTTCACCTGGCCCTCCGCAGTCTTAGGACCTTGAATGCGGAGGCGGGTTTCTAGCTGTGGGGGTGCTTCCTGTGGGAGGGACCCCGGGCCAGGCTCCGGGGTTGAGGTGGGTGGTGGGTGATGGAGCAGGGCAAAGGGGCTGGGCCTCGTCCACGAGGATGCCAAACAACACACCGCTGGATTCATACTGCTCTTGTACCTCAAATGCCTGCTCCTGACGCCATCCAGCCCTGTCCCCAGGCCAGACCTCGGCTCCCAGTTCCACAAAAGTGGTAGAGGTAGGGCAGGGCTGGCAGGTGTCTCTGGGCTCCCAGGACCCAGCCCTCCTCTGCTGAGGAAGCCACGCAGCCCGTCTGTCTGTGGTCCTGGCCTGTGGGTGCGCCTCTGTCCCCGCCTCCTGCCCGCCCGAGCCCAGGAGCCCAGGAGGGAAGCTGAGCCCTCGAGGCCCCGGCCGTTGCCTGCACTCCCGCCAGGATGTGGCTCCTCCAGTCTCTGCTCTGCGTGACCAGTAAGTCGGCCTCACCCCTTGCCCCCCAAGGGGCTGCTGTGTCCTCAGCTCGGCCTGTCTGTGCCTCTGGTGGGGCTCAGAGCCTGAGGTTAGAGAAGAGGTGGGGCCTGCCCCCGCCCCCGGGGGGATGCTTTTGCTGGGTGGGTCAGACCGGGGCTGGGAAGGGCCCCTGAGGCTCCCTGTGACTTTGGACTCCCAGGGCTCTGCCTCCTGTTCCTCCTGCCACCTCCCCTCCCCATGCGTCCCCTTCCCCTCAACCAGGCAGCCCCTCGGGTCTATGCCACGCTTCTCCTCAAGAGTGTGCAAGCCCGCCCGCCCAGTAGAGCCCCCTGCTCTTACACAGGAAGGGTTTAGCCGGGGAGGGGTAGGGACCCTGTGAGCAGGTGAACGCTGATGAGAGATGATGAGAGATGGTGGGCTGTGTGGTGGAGGACGAATGCAAGGGGGGGTGCTGCTTCCTGTTCTGACGTTAAGGCCCTATGAGGGCCTGTGTGGGAGAGGGGGCGCTTCCTCTCCACACTGCCTAGGGGGTCCCTTGCTGGCCTTTAAAACGCCCATGGAAGCCCCTGGGAGCAAGCCAAGCCAGGAGCCCTCACCCCGCTGCCAGGCCCTAGGGAGGAGAAAAAGCGTGGTCAGCGAGGGCTGGGGGGGCTGCTCAGATCAAGCCCAAGATCAGGCGGTCCTGCTTAGGGATCTGATAGGACTCCTGGGGGCCTCCTGTGCTGGTCAGAAGCTTGATGGAAGAATAAGACTGGGTGTCAGGCAGATGTAATTTCAAGGGTCCTGGGGTCTATTCTCCTTAAGGGTGGATGGGAGCCACCAAGTAGGCCAGACAGTGGCGGAGAGCTTCGGCCAGGCTGGGAGGGGACTCAGAGTCACTATCAGCACCCACCACAGTGCCAGGCCACCCAAGAGGCTGGCCAAGTGTGCACCATCAAAGCGTACATTTCTGGACTCTTTAATATTTGATGATTTTAAAAAAATCAAAATAGTTATCATGGAAAGATCAAAACTTTGTTGAACTTCCTTTTCCTTATTTTACAGTTTAGACTTCCCTTTATTTTCAGTTACATGTGGTGTGTGGAGACGGTCTCATGCTTTTTTGATCTTGCAGCACCAAGCGTGTCCATAGATAACGTTTAGATGAGACCCTGGTCCACTCCCTCCCAGTATGGAAGAGGTGACTGAGGCCCAGACAGGGGGAGTGACTGGCCATAGTTACAAGCAAGCGCTGGTGGAAACGAGGCTTGAGCCCAGGCCTCTGCCTGCCTCCCGGCTCTAGAAGCTCCAGATACCCCATGGCCTGGGACACCAACCCTGGTGTCACTCCGGGGTCCTGCTCGTCTCTTTCTCCTGTGGCCTCTGGAAAGATCAGTTATCACCCCAGCACCTTTTTTGGCAATGTCAAGTCACATGAGGTTTACAAAACCCCTTCTGAGGTCAAGGCACCCGCCAGGTGGATGGACAGCAGAGAGCAAGATGGAGCAGGGTTGCAATGAGACCCCTGAGCCCGCTGCTTGGCTATGCTGTAGGCCAGGGACAAGAGCAGGGCCCCAGCAGCACCAGTGTGAGTGGGAGAAATGGAGCCGTAACAGTTCTGCTCCAAGAGTGAGGTCCTGAGACTTAGGGGTGGACTAATTACGAAGAGCTTCCTGGAGGAGGTGAGACTGGGGCTGAGTCTTAAGAGCTGGAGAGAGTCTGAGAAAGTGACAAGGAGAGGCCAAGGGAGGGCATAGGAACCCTCAGACTGTGAGCCCAGGCCCTGCATCCTGGCTGCACCGCCCTAGGCTGGAGAGAATCCCGACTGTTCCTGGTCTGACCTTCCACCCTTCTCACTATGGTGAAGCCCTGGAGCTGCCGCTTGCAGCCTGCTACCCCTGAGTCAGTCTTCACCCTGACTCATTCAGTGACCACAGCCACTCACTTCTCCTCCCAGGCTCCTAGAGATTGCATCTGCATAGCTCGGGTGAAGAAGGGAACTCTGCTATGGGTCTATAAAACCTTACAGTGATACAGGAACCAGAAGTCCAGGGTTGGCTTTGCTGTTGTATCAACTTCAGGCTGGAGCCTGGGGGCCGTCTGGGTCCTGCTGGGGGAATCGGGGAGGTGTCAGACCTGGCTCTGCCTGAGGCACAACCCCAGATGGTATGGCAAGTCTGTGATGGAAAACCTCAGCCACTGAGGGTGGAGGACTGTAGTGTTCGAGGTGGCCCGTAGGATGGGGGAGGTCCTTAGCAAATGCAGATAGGTGGTGGGGGAGGAAGGGAGCCTCTATGCAGGAGAAGCAGTATGGACAGAGACCCCGGTTCGAGGATCCTGTTTAAGGAGACACAGGGTGAGATCTGAGTGGGGACCAGAGGGCTGTCTGCCCTGAGGTTGCTTGCCTCCAGCAGCCAGGACATCCTGGGCCCTAAAGGGAAGCAGGCCACACGCACACCACAACTCTCTGTCCCCAGCTGGAGGGCCCGCTAAGGACACCTTCAGGCAACACATGGGGATGGGGAAAGTGTCCCCCGGTAGAGGGGTAAAACAAATGCAGTGTGCATGGGCAGGCCAGGTGTGGAAGGCAGGCCACTCGGGAGTCAGACACCCCTGACCTCCTCTGGGAGGCTGGTTTTTGGGGAGTGTAGACAGGGGCCATGCAGGTGGCCAGGGTGGTGGTGGAGAGTGTAGGGGACCCAGAATACTAGGCTAAGGGAGCTCCTGCTTCACCCTGAGGGCAGGGGGGAAGCCCAGTAGGCCCCGAGCCCAAAGGTGACCGTGAGACTTGCCTGTTGTGTAGAAGGCAGTGTCCTGGAGGAAAGGGAGGTAGAGAGGCCCATGAAGAGGTAGTTGCTGAGGTCTAGTCCAGGGGACTTGGGGCAGGAGGGTGTGGGGAGGAGGAGACACTTACGGGGAAGATTTAGTAGGAAAATCCACAAGCACTTTGCATGGAACCCAGCCCAATCTCCTCCAGACCTGCTGGCCGTGGTCACTGGGTAGCCTGTGAAGGGAGTCGGAGGGCAGGTGTGAGGTTTGGGGCTGAGATGATGAGGCTCAACTTTAAGGGCCCAGGTGGGTGAGTGCAGGGTGAGCCGCCCTATGGGACGGGCAACCTGCAGACCTTTCTGGGTGCTCTTGGCTGGGTGTCAGGACAGCTGAGTCTAGTCCTAGTTCTATGGCCGGGCTTCTTGCTTAACTTGGGGAAACCATGCCCCCCAGGTTCAGTTTGCTAGGCTGGGAACAGTACTGTAAGAATGTGTATTTAGACAGCCCAGTGTGATGGGGGAGAGAGGGGGCTGGTGGGGGGCTGTGGGGCTGGCAGGATGCAGTGGGGTCTGACTCAGCAGGCCTGTGTGGCTAAGGCAGCCTGGGGAGGCGGCCCTGTGGGTGGTGTGGTGACAGACTCTGGTTCAGCCGGGCTCTCATCCATGACAGCACTGGAGGGGGGCTTGACCCTCAGAGAACGCGGCGGGCCCTCTGTGGTTAGAACACTGACATCAGCGCCCACCTCGGAGCCTTCGGTATATCAGGCCCTGCACACGGCATCTCCCCGCTGGGGCGCACGGTCCCACACTGCAGCTGGGAAGATGGTAGTGAGGTGACCGCAGTTCCTTCAGGGACTCCGTGGCAAAGCGGGCACTGTTTCCCTCCGGGGCTCATGCTCGTTTCTCTGAGTCTAGGGGGGATGTGGAAAGGGTTGGGGGGTCCCTGATGGATGCACAGTCTGGGAAAGGGACTGTAGCAGCGGCTGGGGGGCAGAGTCTGCTCCGGCAAGGCGACCCACGCCTGGTGGACCCCAGGCACCCGCTGTCCTTCTGAGACAGCTCAGCGAACCCGTTGACACACCTACACACACACACACACATTGTGTGTGTTCTCAGCTCAGCGGACCCAGTGACACCCCAGTGTACACACACACACAGCCTACACAATTGTGCATGTTCTCAGCTTAGCGGACCCACTGACACATCTACACACACACAGAGAGAGACACACATGCACATATTCTCATTGACCTAATTGCCAGCTCGCTAACCCAGAGCTCTGCCCCAGTTCTCAGCTGCTGGCACAGCAGGGAGCCTGGTCTCTATTTACACCAGCACCCTTGTCCCCAGGGCCTCCGGCTGTTACTGAGGACCTCAGAATGAGGCAGACCTGGGCCCCAGACACAAGTTTCAATTTGCTGATGGGCCACAAAGCAATCCCTTGACCTCTCTGAGCCCCAGCACCTGTGTATGGTGCCTGGAAGAGAGCAGGTGGGCCAGGAAGGTGGCCGTGAGGGTTGTCTCCTCCCCTCTCCCACTCCTCAGAGATTTTGAGCCAAGACCCCTCAGTTAAAGCAAAAAATGGGGGTGCAGGGGTGGAGATCAGAAATCTCTGGTCCTATCTGATGTTTCTAATCTGGGCCTGGCACTGTGTCAAGCAGGGCTTTGTGGTTGGGGGTGTCATGGATGACAGATCAGATTACTGTCTGGGGGAAACAAAGTTCTTCGCAGATCACTCTGACCCAGACAGGATTTAGTCAGAGCCAGACAGAGACAGCCCAGGATGCTGAGGGGGTTCAGAGACCAGAAGGGCATTCTGGTCAAGAGTCTAGTTGGCTCCTGGGGCAGGGAGTGCCTGAACAGGGCCCCGGAGGATGGGGCAGAGCTGGGAGAGTGATGAGGAAGGCACATGAGGCAGAGGGAGCCGCCCGTGCAAAGGCCCTGTGGTGGGAGATGTGCGGAGGGCGTTCAGGAAGTGGGGTACCAAGGAGCTGGAGAAAAGAGCAGGCAGAGGGGATACTGGGCTGGGCAGGGAGATATCACGGATGTCCAGGAAGGAAAGCAGACTAGACTTGTCACAGGGGTTTCAATTCATGTCTGTGAGTCACACAGATGGTAAAAAGGAGAAAGAAGGCCTTCCTCGCACTCCTTGTAAGAAGTGGGTAGTTCTCACTTCACTCTTTTTTTTTTTTAAATCTGTCCCATTATTTTAAAACAAGTTTTATTTTAGCGCATGATATATTTTTATGAGTC